ATCAAGAGGTTTTTGGGGATAAAAAAAATCCAAAATTTGACGGATCACGAATCAGTCTTTTAATGTGGTTCCGGATATTTATTGATACTTGCAATCCCACGTTGTTATACTGAATTGAACTGATTAACCTCTGTTGTCGTATCGGCTTGCTTCTACGTGGATGCTTTGATATCACCTCAATATTTATTGTGTTATAATTTACTTGATGGCTGGGTTTCATTGCTATCTGCCACCAACTTAATTATAAAGTAGTAATCCTAGGTACGTTTGTGATCTATCCGATTGAGAAAATGAATTCAGAGAGTATGGTGTGAGGTCTCTAATCTATTCAGGAAAAGTTAGGAGTGCTGTGCGTTTTTTCTTCAGAAAGAGTAAATTTGATAATGTGGAGTTAGGAGGTTGGAAAGCGTAAACCATTGGATTCCTACTCAGTAGCTAGATGGTAACTTGTTAACTGTGAGATCTGATGGTATTCTGTTCACTCCACCATCACATGATGTTAGGTGCGCACTACTGAGGAATCCTAACCTGAGACGAAACAGCCGTTCAACACTCCAAGGTTTCTAATGGTTTTCTTTCTGATTTGGGTTTGTGACGAAAACGTTTCCAAATTAGACAGTTCCTCACAAACCTTCAAAGTGACAATGTTTTTGTTTGACGAAATGATATTTTCGGAGATGATAATTATTCATTATCCTCTTGAGCTACTCATAATGTTGAGAATACCAATATTCACTCTTTACTGTTGTCTAAAGCTTAACAGAAGGATCCTTAGCTCGATCACTTGTAAACGCTGCAATGTACCCTACTATATAGCATTTGAACTACGCAGATAGATACGATATTAATCAACTACATTCAGGAACCGTGGCTTAACATGATTCATCTTGAAGTTTATTTGAACACTTTCTGAATGACACATGAAAGCAGGACTAATTTCAAGAAGAAAAATTGATAAAGCCCTCATTTTCCAAATAAAAACTGATATGCTCAAAAGTGTTTAGATCGAAAATGGGCGAGAGACGGTGAGTTTTCAAACTAATCCAGAATGATAGAAGTACTAATTTTTATAGAAGGATAGTGTTAAGAAACCTTAGGATTTTCATCAATAGCCTATTTTATTTTTATAAATGTGAACAAACCGCTTTACCAACTTATAGTCTACTTGGTGGGTAGCAGTGAAACCTAGAATGGGCGTTTCATCGTATTTGGCACTCGTCAACCAGATGTTATCTGCTTCAAGCTCCAAACCACTATCTACTTGGCCACTGTGGCAAGTGAGCCACCACTTTGTTTACTAATACTTGTAATTTTCTACCTTTTTGTACCTCATGGTCAGTAGATTTCTTTCCATACATCTTTCAAAATCACTTCTCCTTCAATATTTCAATGTTCTCAGTTTTACAAATTGTTGAATTCCCTGTATTTAAAACCAAGTCTTCTAACTTATCTTTCTCGCCTTTTTAGGAATTAAAAGGTCTGTTCCAATTTGGGTTCACCAGCTACCAGTTAGTGAAAATCTTAAACAATCACTACCGTCGTTCTATTGCAGATTTGATAACAGACTTAGCGTATTTCCAATCCCTTGAAGATTCATCCAGACAGAGAAAGACAATGGTAAACGAGGAAATTAATAAGAATTCATTATCTTAGATGGCAGTTACTGCTTAACTAATTACATCAGACTAAGCTCTAATACCCTCTGAATTTCGACAGGATTGTGGTGATGTTTTGTGGATCTCTTAGTGACGTCAATTCCAAAGGTTTTCTAGTTGTTGTTTATCATATAGGTTAAGACAATTTATCAATTACCTTCTCAGGATGAGCATACATTCGATAATCATTTGGTAAGGTCGTTCTTATGGTAACCACTTTCTTGGGAAGGAATCATTGTATACCCTTCCCATTTTCTTCGTAAGTCATATGTGCAGGTGTACGGTATGGTTGTTTCGATGGTCTCTTTCTGAACAGCTGTGGTTCTAAGGAGGTAATCCAGTTGCTATCTCTAATCCAAGATAAGTAACATCTTTAAATTAACTAACTACCCTGAATTGATCAACTTAGAAGGTAATTATTTAGTCAAGTGGCTATCGTAATTCATTGGTCTAGTGGATTACGCTCTGACATTTGGAGCCATTGGTCTCGAGTTCGAGTCTTCGTGAGGACAACGTCAATCACCGAGAGGTAGGTATATCCAGCTGACTAGTCTCAAATGGGACGAATTCTGTGTCCTGGATACTACTGCTAGCCACTATCCGTCAATAATAGGTACTTATTTATTGGTAAATTTACATCTGGAATGCAGCCAAACACAATCATATACATTTCATACATTCTCCACTAACAGATCTAATTTTTCCTCTTGACGTGAAATCAGTCACCTTATAGACTGTCGCTCAATAAGAAGGCTGAACTGTTTGACCTTTTTACAGTATTTACTTGTATTTTTTTCATGTTTTTTTCCCAGCATATTTTTACTGTTACTGTATGCATTTCTAGGATCTGTCCTGGCACTTATTTTTGTTCGTAACAAACATACTTTTTTTGGCATTAGATTCTGTAGTGACTCATAAGAGTTCTATACGTGAATTTCATACTTTTCAGTTGACTGGTGCAATCAATTTCCAACTAGTCAGTAGTGGGTTCGCATCCTGACTCGCAAGCTGGTTAGTATCACTAACTGTCATACAATAAGTGTAGTTGGTTATCCAGCGTATGACTTTTCGGGATTACGACTTTTTGAGAGTGGGTGTGCACAGGTCTTAGTGTTGGCGGTTCCAGTGAAACTGGAACTAAGCGTCTGAACTCTTCAAACTTTATAATCAAGTTATAATAGTCAGTGGTTATTAGTTATTACTGCAATGAATTCACTAATCCGCATTCACGTCACAATTTCCTTTAGTCTACCATATAGGTGTGAAAAATAGGATTAAAGGTGGAGGATATGAAAAAGCTTTAAACTTTTGACCACTGTTGCCTTCGTATTGTAAGCCATGTGTTGTAGTACGACCATGTGACGAACTTGGAGGTTCGATATAGAGTTTCGAGTATGGGAGATTAGTAACTTGATGAAATTGTAAACCGTCGTCGACTCATACGACTGAGCCCTTTTATACGAATACCTAGTTACCTATCTGCCTTGTTGCACAGTGTTAACTGAAGTAGGTTTATGCTGGAAAATTATGTTAAAGGTGATCATACTAAGACATGGCATCAAACCATGAAGTTTTAGACTGTTGGTGTGGGTCGTTTAGCGAAATATAAACCTCCCTATTGGGGTCCAAGTGATAACCAAAGTCGGTGGTTCACGACTCTATGTGATGTGACTCACAATCGCTGTCAATAATGCAATTATATCTACATATTTTATTTACTTATTGTTTCATGTATGCAGAGTTGATGATGATAATGACTGAGGTTTGTGTCGACTCTTTGCTGTTTGTTTTTCTCCAGCTCTTTGATACGTGTTCATTCCTGATGAAAAAAGTGTCTTTAAGGGAATCAATACTTTGTATTTTAGTGGAGCTGTGAAGCATTGATCTAGGCAGTTGACCTTCAATCAATGGGTCATGAGTTTGAACTCCATTCCATCCACTAAGGTAGTATCATTAACCCTCATGCACTAGGTATAGCTCATTGCCTGCTGCACAAAAGTGCACAAGGTTTTCAATGTTGTTTTCGACTTGAACTATGTAATTACCAACTAGAATTAGTAGATATTGTTTACTCTTTCATTTATTTTTTAATCTATTGCAACATAAATGCCTTTAATAAATGTCACGGCATTTTCTCATTCCTCATTTATTACTTGTATAGATATTTGCTACAAGCACATTCTGAAAACTGCTACAATTCTTCGTATATTTAGATAGTTTTATCTATAGACAAGCACACTGACAATCATATTGGTGCATCATAATAAAGGATAACCATTTAGGCGCTTACTTTATATACATATTTTAGTGGAAAGTATGAAGAGTGTAATCTGTTTGTATGCACAAAATCATGTACACCAAGGTATTCTTTTATCTTGTGAGTGATATATTTCAGTAAGCCATTCACTTTACTGGGAGGGCAGTATGAAATAATGTAAATGTGGTCTGAGAAGGGAAATACCTTTATTCCGTAAAGCATTAACATTAAATACTTAGTAAAGGTTGCATATTGTTTCTGTTGTCTATGAATTAGAATACAGACATAAGTTGGATATAGTATGATGTCACAATAATATCAGGTTCTATAGTGATACTAACTGATTAGATTTCATGTTATCGAGAAAAGGATTTAGTTGACAGTTGTCTGATTAAGATTTTCGAAAGGAATATGAAGTAAGTAGAGAAAAGGAGGCAAGAAACGAGAAAGCTGTTCTCTCTACCCTTCTAGTTGCTAACTTTGATATCACTTATAGTTGTGAACAGGATTAAAATTGGTTTATCCCACTTATTGATTCATAGAAAACCAGTTGATTTCCATGTGATTTTCTATCATAAGTTGAAATCAGCTGATTAAACGAAAATCTGATCACTTTGGATAACTTTTCTACTCTCATTTTAGACTTTATGAACTTCACAACCCTGTGATAGATGGTTCTCAGTGTTATCAGACTTTTCAGCGAAAGCAATATCTACCATTCAATTAGTGACTTGGAACCCAATAGTCAGTGTTTTACTAATTCTAAGCATTTGTGATGTGTTGGATAATTAATTCATTTCTACCCTAATATTATTTATCGTTCGATGATTGTTGTTGTCTGTTCCTCTTTTTGAAAACTATTCATCGATTATTTTTCATTGTTTACTTTATGTTTAAGTCAGTCAGTTTAATGTGATTATGAATATGTTTTACTGAGGAAACGCTTTAGTTAAAAATTCTGATGTTTACTGAATCGATAGGCTATGTGGACTCCTATACGAATGCCTCGAAGTTGCGTAAATATTCATTATGCTGTAGTTGACTTGTATATTCACTTATGTTATTTGTGTGTTACTTTTTAATTACAGATTGAAATACCATCAACTTCTTATGTTCAATTTCCTCCTGTAATTATTCCAAAAATCAATTATTTCCCATGCTCTACTAATCAAAATCAAAATTCCTACATGAAATTAAATATTCATTGGCCTAAATACTTTATCACACAGAAACTTGTTGCACCGGAAGATGTAACAAGTACAAGTTTATCATCTGATTCTATATCTACTGTATCATTACTTTTGTCATCTTCTGAAAGATCAACAACAAGAACAACATCTAAGTACCAAATAAAGAAGCAACAGTCTACTAACAGATTATTTCAAGAAGGTGAAAATGTTGACCAATTGTCTTTATATACATTTTATGAATCAATTCCAGTAGGTTGTTTACAATTGAAAATACAATTTTTGTCTAGTACACTGGAGAGTAAAATTGTGTTCAGTTTAGGGTAAGTTTTCTTAATTTCATCAGTGAATTCAGTATAAAGAAAGTGTTGTATAAATTTTTAACCCTTTTAGTGCACACTGAAAAGATGAAGCAAGTAGATAGAGAAAAACATTTATATCTGGAAACTTCATATCTAACTTTCTTATCTGTTAGGATTTATTATCGAGATGAAGAAAAGTGATTCTTGCATTGAAATTCAAGCCGGTATCACTTTGTACAGATGTTTCCATTGAGTTTTTTTTTATAGAATAAGTCCATATTGTTTTTGTTTATTTAATAAAGCAGTCAGTTACATAATGAAATTTACCAAGTAATACTTTATTACTGTGTAATACATGAAATAAATAAATTTAATATTCGAACTCTAAATTGAATAGGCGAAATTATTACTGTGCTGATATTATCAAGTAATCTATCGTTTGCACTAGATTGGATACTCGAACTAGTATTTTAACTGATGACTTTGAAGGCTTTCATAAAAGCAGTAAATATAAGGTTTGCACTTTTATCCACTTTAATAAATGCATAGAATTTCATTTTAACTCAATAACTATAAGAAATGAGAGCTTCTGGATAGTCGTGAAGCCAGGTTGAAAAGATTACAGAGAAAAGAGTAGAATGGAGACGTGCTATTGAAGCATTATGTTCCACTGGGAAACCAAGGGATAAATAATAAAATAATAACTATATGTATTGATTGGTCACGGGAGTGCAACTAATTTCATGTTGTCCAGTCCTGAGTGCATACCGAATTCTATCGATCATATTTGTAGTGTGGCAACCAAACTAGGAAGCTCAGCATTGCAGTGCACATTAGTAGATGTTAGTTAGCTGGAGGCAATCGGCAGGAAGCCCTGAACCTAGGCTTCGTGCTTTTTAGCACTCGTCAGCAAGGCGTATCTGCAACCTCGATGGAACTGATGTTCCGCCTGAGATTCGAACCCGCGTTACCCAGTGTTGTAGTCAGTGACTTTACCACTCCCGTGACCAATCAATACAATTAAGCCAGTCCTACAGGAGGTCAGTCGCGGCCCGGATAGCTCAGTGGTAAAGTCGCTGACTATCACACTGGGTGACGCGGGTTCGGATCTAAGGCGGGACATCGGATCCGTCGAGGTTGCATATACGCCTTGCTGACGAGTGCCAAGAAGCACGAAACCTAGGTTCAGGGTTTCCTGCCGATTACCTCCAACTAACTAACAAATAATAACTATATTCCATTCGTGTCGTTTTGTTCGAATCAGGTTAAAGGTTTTTGAATGCATATGTAGCATTGAGAGATGGGTTTCGGATTTTTTTTTTTAATGACCAGCCTATGCCTTTATACGTCGTTTAAACCGACAGCCAGTGAACTGGTGTACTGATATACCCCTTAGATAGATGGCTCTTCCGACTTCACATTTCTGAACACCAAGACTAAGTGAATTCAGATGGACTTTCTGCATGTATATCGTATAGTTTTGCAACCATTCTTCAGATAACTTGTCCAATAATCTATAGTTATGCAGAACAATACTATTAATACACGTATGTCAGTCTTCTCAGATTCCTAAGTTTTGTTTCATTAGGTATTTATGATAAAACATAAATAGCACGAACTGATTAGTAGCAAATTCAGTTCGTCAATCTGTCATTGTATTTTTTCCTGGCTATTACTTTATCGCAGCTGATGTAAGTTTGTCGATGCACTCAATAACTTTTATCATATTCTGAGAATAGCTGCGAGGTCAAACTTGTCTTCAGATATCATGTTGTACTTGTGTGTACAGTTGAAAGAGGTTTTCAGTCGTATTAATTTCATTGGTATCGCTTATTCGTCAGGATAGTCAACTCTCAACTAGTGGGCAATAGGTTCGTAGAATGCCTCATTCTCTGACGTCTTATGGAGCCAACTGTTATCGTCACTCACCAGACAGACAGACAAAACCAACATAGAACCTCGCACATAATTACACCAGATCAAGTTGCCACACTTTATAGTAGTTTGCAATGACCAGATGGATAGAAAAAGACTGACAACAAAGTAGGCAGAGTTGTGTAAGAGAATAAACAATCTGAAGACAACGGTTAGTGCAAATATTCGAAACTTTGAGGAATTCAGGGAGTGAATTCATCTGTACCATTGTTATCGATATCCACCTATTTCACCTACAGTCCCCAAACATTGATTTCTTTCATCTCGGGGACCTCGATCAGGCAGTCTACATCTCTTCACACGACTCAGACCATCAGTAAGAGGCCTAATCAACTGATGCCACGTCTTGGTATGGCCATCTTGAACCCTCTTTTAACCTAATCCAGCTTCCTTAGGATTGTATGTCGAGGTATGCGGTGGCTGTGACGTGTACTGCACATGCCGAGCCACCTCAGTGGACAAAATCTCACTACCTCATCAATAAACTTGCCTAGTTCTCTTCACCTGACCTCAATATTGCTCACACGGTGATTCCACCAAACCTGAACAATGCTACAAAGACATCCGAGATCAAAACCCTGTAACTGCCTCATGTCTTCTATTTCTAGCGGCGATGTCTCATCTGCACAAGAGGACAGATAGATAGTCGGATGTCTCGCCACTCGGCGCCACAGTTGGCAAATGCAAAACGGGTCTAGGTGTGTCCTATCCTTCGCCACACAGACCTGCACGTGGCTGCTGAGTTACATCTCTGTATGTTTTTTCCGTACTATCTGAGGTGCTCGTGATTTCTCTTTCCAAGGTTAGTTTAACATTTCCAACGAAGACCGAAATCCTAACCCTCTGCTGACCAGATTTCACACTAGCGACAAGTCATCAGCTTCGCTTATACAAGCGTCTACTCAAGAACGGTAGTTGTCAAGATATATAATGACTACTGTTTATTATTGTGATTTATTCATAATAACTTATGGATATCAGCAAATGCTTTAGATTAAAGTGATATTGTTATGGGGATGAATTGAACTAACTGCTAGTTTTGAGTTTCAACACCACACTTTGATTGTCGAAGGGTGTTAGACATGGTAAGCTGGGCTACTGGCTGCCACTGCTTCTGTTAACTGATGAAGCAACTGAACAACTAAGTGCATATTCGCGTTGTACTGAGGGGTGAGTTTTACAAAGTCTATAATGGCAGATGACACTAACTGTATGAATATCGGTAGTCTGAACCCATAGTCGCTTTGTTGAAAGTAAACTGCTTAATTCACTTCTCCATGGTTGATTTACCCCTCGTATGGAGTAAATTTATCACTTGATACCTTTCTAAATCGTTGAGTTACCGATTCAATCGGACAGTAGATAAGTGAAATACGTATCTGTAGTAACTCGGAATAAAATGATTGTCTATATATTTCTAGTTTTCACTTAACATTTTATTCATTTTACTCTAAGATGAAAAGTAATCTCTTACTGTAATTACTTTTAGACAATGTACTTTATTTGGAAGAAAAGTATTTTACTTTGTAAAAAAACTAATTACTATCATTACTTTCACCATGTGACAATACTGAAATTTTTTTAGGCCAACAAAAAGTAGAATGATAATGCTTAAAAAACGCTTGAGACTCAACAGTTTAGAACGTGAGACTGTAGCACTATGAAGTATCTAATTACATTCATATTCCAGTTATGTAATACTAATGAATGTGCATAAAAGTTCCATAATAATGATTGCGTCGTATTTAAAGTGGTTTCAAATGTTACTATTTTATTTACTGTTTTGAAAACGATTACAATTGCACCAACATAAGTAATGGATTCTATAAAATAAAAATGGAGATTGTATTTTATAAATACCAAAAACAGAATTATGTTCTCCTCATTGTCTGTAATTTTAGATTAGCTGATTGGTTGGTTTCTTGATGTATAAGGTTTATACTTTTCTCCAGCTTGTTTCAATAGTCACAAACTTCTATTCACTCTATCTGTTTATCTCAACTTTGAAGTAGAGGTAAACAAACTGAACTCGAAATATAGGAATCAACACGGAACTTCGTACATAAGTGCATCGGATCAGGTTGCCAGACTTCACAGTAGAACACAAAAAACACATAGATAGAAAAACACTGATATCAAAGTAGGTTAAGTTGTGTGAGGAAATAAACAACTTCATAATAACAGTTGGTCCGAATATCCAAGTGTTAGACGTCAAAAAGTATATACATCTATGCCACTGTGATCGATTTCCAGCTGTCTTGAAGTCATTGACTACTATAACGTTGGGGACCTCAACCAAGCAGTCTGCATCTCCCCACTAGGCTCAGATCAACAGTTAGGGACCTGATGCACTGGTTCCGTATCTTGGCTTGGCCACTATGAACCATCTTCTAACCTAATCCAGCTTCTTCTGACATGGTGCGTTGACGTATGAACATCCAGACCACCTCAGTGGATGAAAGTTCACAATTTCATCAACTGATTTGCCTGTCTTGCTTAGTACATTTCGCTTGACCTCAACATGGTTCGCATGGTGATTCCATCAAATGCAAGCAATGATATGAAGACACTGTAACCAAAACCATGTAATCGCTTCGTATATTCTACTTTTAACGGTTATGTCTCACAGCCGTACAACAGGACGGAACGCACTGCAGCGCAGTATAGTTGTCTTTTGATAGATAGTTGGATATCTCACGAGTTGACTCCACAAATGACGCAAGTTGACAAATGCAAAACGGGCCTTTTGTATCCAAGTTAAGATATCTTCAGTAATCATCTGTTTGGGCTGACGCAACTCACCAAGTAAGTGAAGTTATTGACACATTCCTCCACTTAACTCCCTATCATTAAACTGGGAGTACTTACTGGAGACCAGTTCTGGAGGGTTATTTTACATACTCAGATTTCTGTTCGACGCGTTCACAAGACACTGCTTTTTGTTGACATCTTCACCTAGCAGGACAGTATCGTCTGCATATTCAAAGTCAACCATATGGTTTCTATTAGTAGATCAGACCAGTAGATCCCTTGCGGACGGTACTAGTTGTCGTCAGTACTGATGACTGCTCTACTAAGGTCTTTACTTTGACTCTTACTCTATAGACAGAATTCAGAAAATAAGGCTTTAATGTTATAATAAAAACAAAGATCTATGGTAATTGTTTTAAAGGTGTACTAATATACACCCTCTGTCCTGTATCTTTGTAAAATTATAAACCGAACAGTTTGTCGCATGTATTACAACTTGAAATTTAGTTAATTAATAGGGAGTATAGTTACCAGTTCAGTATAATTTGGTGCGAATATGAACTACTCATATTTATACATCCGAGATTTTAAAAATAGGTTGGTTCGAATATTCACGGGATCTCACAGCACCAAGAAATGATACCAAACAGGCTGAATCTTGTATGAGTCTTCTTTTTCAACATTACTTTAAGATTATTACTATTTATTGATACACTTTTAATTCTCCGTCGTTTTTATTGGACCGAATTATTCGACCTCTATTGGCATATAGGCTCCTATGCGGATACCTCGATATTTCCCGGATGTCAATTATGGTAATTTGGTTAGTTGTGACTAGTAGAGAAATCCAGGATGCGCGTTTCGTCCTACTTTAGACTCGTCGTCTGGATGTACCTGCACCCCAATGAGTTATGTTGTTCACATTGAGACTCGAACCTCGTACTCATCGCTTCAAACGCTAAGCGTTATCCACTATACCACGGAGGTACGATAGCCACTTCTTGTACGACGGGTATCAGTTATTACTATTTGTTGATATATACTAGTAATTCTCCGTTGTTTCATTAGATAGGACTGTTTAACCTCTATTGGCATATGGACTTCTATGCGGATGCCTCGACATTTCCTGAATGTTAATTATGGTAATTTGGTTGGTTGGATTAGGCCTTGGAGTTTGAAGCGACGAGTATGAGATTCGAGTCTCGGTGGGGAGACAACATCACTCACTGGGGTGCAGGTACATCCAGCTAATGAGTCCTAAGTAGGACGGAACGCGCGTCCTGGATTCCTCTGCTAGCCACAATGAACTAAATTGCCTCAAGATTCACTAATCTGCATAATGCTGACTAGCTGTGGAGTTCAGAACGCGCGCTTTATTCTGTTTAGGACTTGTCAGCTGACTATACTTGCACTCAGTGAGTGATGTTCCCACTGAGACTCGAACCTAAGATCCATCGCTTCAAAAGCCATAGCGTTACCTACGAGGCTACTGAGGTTATGACATACACACCATGTATGAACCTAATCTATCCACCAATATTGGCATGTATGCTGACCGCTGATATCGCTTGTGATTTCAGTTTTTATAGTAAAGACGGGTAATAACTAGCAATGAAATACATGTTCATTGTCAAAAATGAAATTATAGGCTATATCGAAACGTCCATACAGGCGATTAATCAGTTGATTTAGTTTACAATTATAAGGAAAGCTTTCTATTCATTCGGTTACATGGATTAGCTGAAAATTTGAATACAATTCTAGTTGCACGGTATAAAAGTTGCAGAATTTTCTCTTATAAGTTTGTGCACTTAGGATAAACAATGTCTTTTGAATTATTTAGATATTATTCCATTCTTTATTAAATTGATGTCGTTTGTTATGTGAAAGTGTTTATCATCTTTAAGATTTTTATAAGTCCATTGTACTTGTGGTTATCTGAATTGCTGTTAGTTATTGGTGAACATACATACGCTCATATACACACATATACACGTCATATTATCCAAATATTGTGATTTGCATAGAAAACCGCGGTGAAATTTCTTATCGTGAATTGTGTGTATTTTGCAAACGCTTGATTTTAAGGACATTTGATCGTATTTTATTCAATAGGTTAATGAGTTTATCACAAACTATACCACTGAATGTTATGCTAATGCTTCTATTATGTATCATATGTAATTTAGACTGGAATAGCTTTCAGGTTTTCGTGAGAAAACCATCATTTTACTTCTTCAAGGTAGCTCTTGCTGACGTGTGCTAATAAGCACGAAACCTAGGTCCAAGGCCTCCTGCTGATTGCTCCAACCAGCTAATATCCATCAAAGTGCACTGCGGTGGTAAGCCTCCCAGCTTGGTGACTACATTGCAAAATGATCGATGGAGTTCGGTTAGCAATCAGGAATAGACAACATGAAATTTATTATTCTCCAGTGACCAATCAATATATTTACTCCACTCCTACATGAGATCAATGGCAACCTGAATCGATCAGTGGCAATGTCATTGACTGCAACGGTGAGTGACGCGGATTCGAGTTTCAAGCGACACATCACCTACATCGGTGTCGCAGATACGCCTTGCTATCGGGTGCTGACAACCACGAAACGTAGATCTTGGGCTTCCTACCGACTGTCACCAACTAAATTATACTTATTCGTCCTCTTGGCGTCGTAGTCCGTACCACGGTTACCAGTTCAAAGTACTCATCTAACCTTTTGTCTACCGGTTAAACTTTGTTTTGGCCAGTAGTCTGAGTTGACATCATGGTGCAGTCTACCAGATGAAGCAAACATTCGACGCAAACTCTAGGGTTTGGTTTCATACTTATTGTTTCTTATCCGCTGATTAAGGATACCCGCATTCAAACCTATAACCTATCGATAAAAGTCAAGTGTGTAGAAGAGTGAAAGACAGCTCTAATGTGTAGTCAAAGATGAGAAGTCTAAACGAAATTGAACATGTGTATTTTGCACTTATGCTTTACAACACTTCACTAATAACTTAATAAATTTGAAGTAAGCTCCTTTCAGTCTAATAAAAATAGATCCATTGTAATAGTATGGAGGTATAATCACAGTGCATAAGTGATGCTGGTCATCAGAAATCTCACAACACACGTGTATATTCGATAAAACGACAAAATGAATGAATACTTATTTACCACTGTTATGAGGACAAAAGCATTACGTTACTCTACATTAGAGTGATCCAAGAAGTAAATAGTCATTTTCACTTGTTATTAGTATACTTAGATATAGAAATCTAACTATATGATACAGCATAACATTAGTGTTACTAGTTCACCAATTATTTGCAATAGACGCAATCTCAGCTGAGTTAATTTTCATTGTCCAACTATATTGTTTGCTTCAAAACTCTTGATTACCCAGTAATGAAACATGCTTATCAGTGTTAGCAATGTTCTGGTATTCACCTTTTGTTTATTAACAAATGTCATTTTGACATAGGTGATAGGTGATTGTTCCTAGTTTATTTCTGATACAGATACTGTCGTTATCACAGTTTAGTGAATTGAAATCGTAGAAGTTAAAGAATCAGTAGTTTTCAGTGTAAACTTCCTAAATAGTAATCTCATTATCAACCTAAGAAAATACTTCACTTTTTTTCTACTACATAATGATAAAATTTCTTTTGAATTGTTCTTATTTATTTCATATTTTAGATCAAATAAACAAACTATTCGATCCTTATTCAACATTGATAATAACTCAGGCTATGAATACAATCCAAACTATGATATTGATCAAAATGAAGATCTCGATGAGTCATCATCATCAGTAGTTTACACTTCATCCATTTCAAGAACTTTGTCCAGATTAGATTGGTCTATATTCAGAGAACAGATGCCAGATTTAGAAAATAATAGTTTACCATACAATGTATGGATTAATGCAACATTACCTATATATGCTACTAATAAATACAATGAAAGTAGTAAATACAAACAGTATATAAATAGTAGTGAAAAGTTCACAAGATTTACTGAAAATTTTATTGACCAATCAGATGAATGGATAGCTGTGGATACAAATCAGTCTTTATTTCTCATTACTACTAACAATGTATGCATTGATGATATATATTTGTTTACTAGTAAAGATCGTGACTTATTAAAATCGACATGTCAACGTAAACTAACTTGGATTAGTGAAAAAATGAATAATTCTGTACAAATTATTCGCCTTAATTCATTTGGTTATCCTATATTGAATATGACTAGTGTTCGAAGACGATCGAATGTTACTAGTAATATCATCATCCAATCATTCAAATCAATGACATCTAACAGATATTCATTATATAACGGGTTTCATATCCTATGGATTGCTGGTTCACTAATATTAGCATTATTCATTACATTTCTTGCTATACTATTCATTATTACATTCAGTTTATCGATAATGTGTAGTCAGCGTAAAGTTTTATTGAATTCTTCTGTAGCTACTATGAACGATATAAGTAGTCGAAATAAAAATAGTCAAAATCTTCATCCATTTATAAAGCATAAAAAGAAACAATTACAACATGAACATAGAAATAATCATCGACAAGTGTACTTAAATTGCCATCATTATCAAGATAAGTCTAAAGATGATTTCGCTAAAATTTTGCCAGAAGATCCAATCAATTCATTGCTCAATGGCTTACCGAATCATTTGTCTTCATCTTCACTTCATGGTTTGTTGTATAATCAATCTGGAAGTCAAAAGCAACAACAGCGAAACTCTCAGCAAGCTGTAACTGCACATCAACAATCGTTTATCGACGACAATTCCACTGAACTCAGTTTATATATGCAGGATGATCAAAATGAACTAGCTAATGTAGGTTATTTGTTCTCAGTGTTGATGGATATAATATCTGTTCGTTTCTTGGTACTTCTCAGCCACTTACACCACAGGTTAGTTCTCATTGAGCTACCTGAAAAAGAAAGGTTGGTCCATAACCCCAGAGCCCAAAGGATGTCTACTTAAGGCCGGTCACATAGCCTTTTCAGAAGTTTAAGATTTCAGTTTGCTTTTCTCGGATCCGACTATGAATCCATATCATCCGAACTAGTATGACACGAGGTAGAAGAGAGCTCCATTTTTACGACCAACTTTTCCTAACCCTCCTGTAGGAAAAGCAGCATCAGTCTGGAACTGCTGCAAACAGCTATTACTGTCATCCTCCTTCCAACTAGTAGTAAAAGTTTACCCTGGGACACGTATCATAGCATATCTACACGATAACGGTAGCTGCTCTTTGTCTTACAACTATTCAATGGTCATTTCTGGTGTGGTGGGAAGTGGAGAGAACAAACATTTCACCAGCATAGCTCATTCGATCATTATAATATACAAGCCCGACCACCACGTCGATGTAGCGTCTACTGGTCGGTGACCTACCTAGGTATCAGAAGTGACTGCTCATCAGGAAGCAATAGATGCCATTCATAACAGATTTTTGTTGACGTGGTTCAGATTCGATCTCAATGGCACAGATTTATTCAGTTAACTTCATCTGGATCGTCATAATGAATTTCATTATCGTTTTTTTTCATGATTCTCTACCGCTTTCGGCTACCTGCTTAATTAGTCCTCTAAGTTTCATGCTGGCGCATTCTCCCTTGGTGTGTTGATATATACATGACAAAAAGGTGACCTAGAACGTTGCAGACAAAACTGCATCGCTTCAGCCTTTACCATACTTTGCAATCGAACCAAATGATGACATCAAACATAAACAAAAAGACACCAAAATCAATAAGAAATAACCACAATAAAAGGAAATCGAACAACAAATACAAAGATGATTTACACGTTCTGCAGATACTGACTCCAAATAAACTCACCAACCTTGCACACATTCATGCAGTAGGCAATGAGACACACGTATTATATGAGAGCTTATGATAACACTACTTGACTGCCTAGACTTCGGTAGGTGGAGCGGGTTTCAAACCTGTGAACCATTGGTTGAAAATCATCTCCATAAACCAATGAGGAACAGCTCCGGATATGATTATCTACTAATAACACTAATAAACCTTTTAATCTATGTAAATCATCTATCCACCACAAGACATATCCAGTATCTGATGGGTATATGATGCTACCCAGTTAAGACCCATTGATTGAAAGTCGAGTGTTGAAGCGAATAAGCCACAGCTCAGCACGAGTAGATACCATAAAGTAATGAAAAAAGAAGGCGATATTCGCTTGAATTTCATGTTTGTAAGTACTGATAATGACCGTGTTGCATATTATATAGATTTAAACCAGCAGTTGGAAACTGTTCTGATGTTATCTTATAGGTGACTTACACGTTATGGAGCTGTGGCTCAGAGGTTTAGGGAAATGTTCTATGAACGAATGGGTCATGGGTACGAACTCCGCTCCACCTACAGAAGTTGGGGCAATCAGGTAGTATCACTAGCCCTCATACAACAGGTGTATTTCCCTGCCTACTGCATGGATATGAACAAGGTTGCTAAATTCATCTTGACTTAGTTAAGCAGTAATGCCAGGTCCCATGCTGACGTTGACACTATTTTAGGGTGCCAATGATGTACTCGAATCCCTATTGACTATCAGGTGAAAGTATGTAAAAATGTTGCTTTTTATATTATTGTGACAAGTGACCACTATGAGAATGTACGACATGGCAAGATTACAGGTAATGAATCACTATCACCATCTTATTATTCAAGTATTATGCAAGGGAGAGGTTACTGTGCTCAAAATCTCCCCAATTGTAAGAAATATTCATCCAAAGCATTTTTTTTTATAAGGTCTTCAACCCACTTATGTCTTTCGTATGCTTACACTCAAAAATAATCACATCTTCATAATTATTGACCAGGTATACAATCTTTGATATAAGAATAAAACTTAAGTGCTATGGTAGATTGTAATTCCGTTTCAGTTTGTTTACTAAATGCTATCACACATTGAAATACTTTCGTTGACTGGCTATTTCATACATAATTTTATGTCCAGTAACTCTACAACTTTCAAATTGATAACCGAATCCTTACTTATCCAATCAACATAGAACGCATGCAATTGAAATGACACAATACCTGTTCCAGATACATGAAAATTTGTACTATCCATATTACAAAGGTAGAGAGAAAAAATCCGAACTAATATAAGCCATCTCAAAGTTGGAGAGTTATCATAATATGAATACGGACAACAAACAAATTGTATCCAAAACGTTGTTCAGCAAATAATGCTGATTCAGAATATGTTGACTTTGGTTAATTTTTGTCTTCACTTTCAGACAATAAACGGACTGAATGTTGATGGTGCTGATGCCTCCGCAACAAGTGCAATACAGCTATTACGTAATTGGAAATTTTATAAGCAACGTGGCACATCATCGTGCTGTTACTCACCTACCCCCAGTGGCATCGGTGTCAACACTGTTGTTAACCATTCTGGTATTATGAAACCGAACAACTCAAATGCATCGATGTTATTATACATGGAGCGTCGTCCATTGTTTAACGGAGATTGTATCGTTACTGCTGATGCTGTTATAAATGATGATTTAGAAGAGAATGTAATGTATCGATGTCAATCAAGAGTTGGTTCGCCTTGTCCAACTTCTGTGCCTGAAGTTCGCCAGTCATTAATTTTATCAGTTAACGCGGATAATGAATTGATTATATTACCTTCCTATGCTGCTGTCAATGAAAAAAATATAAACAGTACTTGTCATGATCGAAAAGAGGACAGACGAAATCGTTTATTGCCTAACAATACTACTGATAATAATAATCATGAAAATGTCCACGGTGTATTGAATAGTCTATCTGAAGAAGACGCTGAGGCAACACGCCTTGAAATGGCAGCTTCAGTTGGTGCACTAGACCAGTATTTAAATGATGACCGAACGTTGGATGGTATTAATGGTCTGGATTATACTCTGTCAACTGTACCACGTTCACTCATAGAAAGTGAACCACCACCAAGTTACAGTGATTCATCACCTTAACTCTAACAAACGTGTTAGGCAATTCTTCTATTTGAGCATTTCATTGTCTTATATTCTCTTATTAATTAACGTTTATTTCATCTTCTACGCCATTGAATACTACATTTATTATTTTAGCCGTTATGTTTTAAACAAACAAAATAGTAATGGTGTATTGAATAATTTATTAGTTCACAGTTACACAGACAATGATTGAACAGTATTTCCTTTTTCAAATTATTTATACACCTGATCATTCTACTCGCAGGATCTTGCCTTGTACTCTCACTCACTTAATCACTTGGTCTTCAACTGATCAATTCTTGTTGTTCAGTACCATTGAAACTGTTAGTGATGTAAAAATACAACCAAACTCACCAGGTATACTAGGATTTTTTTTTCTCACACAGTTAATTATCTGTTTGTATTCATTATTCGAAATGTAAGTAAGCTTTTCTCTCCTTGCTTTTTCTAATATATGTACTTAGGATTTTTAATATGACAGCTACAAGATTATATACAACATGCCTACTCCTTCAGCATACTTTTTGGATTCTTTGCATTTAGCTTTGAAGAAAAAAGTGTGCTGGTTACAGTGTGTCTTTTCCCTGTTCTTAATTCACTCACTCACTCGGTTTATGCCTTTCAAAAATACGATTAGTAATGATTTTTTTATTTTAATTTATTACTCAATAGGCAAATTGAAACTGTTGTATTGTATGCACATATTACGTCTTGGCTTTTTTTCTTCAGACCTATCGGTGTTATTTCTGTTATTCACCTTCTATAGTTTCCATACATTTCTGCACCATTCATCTTTTCTTTGTAATAATAGTTGAAAGAAGCATTATTTGTTAAAAGGATTTATTGTTTCAGTGTATAGATAATTTAGTGTTCGGTACTTGAGTAGTACTCATTTCGCTTTCATCCCTTTCTTTGAAAAGTTCTTTTTTTTACAATCACGGGTGATACTTTTCATATAAATTCATAAATTTATTAAATATGAGTAAATGAAAAGAAATTATTCGTTATTCTAGTGTTGTTTTCAAAGTTATATGAGTGTTTAGAATGACGATTGCTACAAACAAACATAATAAATAAGTGGAAAAATTTTTTTGCATCAGACAATAGCACACTTGAAAACGTAAAAGAAACCAAGCAACATGAAAGAAATCTTAAACAATATAACATTGCTTGAATTATCCCATAGTTGATTGAACCGAATTGATCAGTCTCCTAATATTAAAATTGAAAATACGGGCAATATCGAGGCATCCGCACAGGAGCCCATATGTCGTAAGAGGTCGATAATACAAGCAACATCAAATAAATTATACCCGTTGTACGAGTGGCTATCGTCACTTGGTGGCCCATTGGATAATGCTCTGGTGTTTTAAGCGGTTGGTCTCGGGTTTGAGTCTTGGTGGGGGGAACACCGCTCACTGGGAGGCAGGTCATTCGGCTGACGAGTCCCAAATAGCAAGAAACATGCTTCCTGGATTTCACTGCTAGCCACTATCCATCATTACAATTATAGACAAGTTATATTCCCAGTGGTTAACAGGCCATTGGTAATAAGCTTTTCAGCTACCAATGAATTCAGTTTGGGCGTGGTTTCTAGATAACATTCTTATCAGAAACTTCAAGCGTTAATTACTAACTATGTAAGCAAGGCGTAGCATAGCTATGGTTACTTCAGTTAAGTAGTCAACTTTCAACAAATGGTTTCAGTTGGTCGACCAATTGTGGTTTCGCCCAGCAGGTAGCTTCACCAGCCGGCATATACATAAACGACCATTATTGCGATGAAGATAAAACTCCACATGGCCGTTTCCTCATTACATATTTTTTAATCAATACCATAAGTAACTGCCTCCATGGAATTTCACTAAACTACTATAATAGATCAATAACAAGAAATTCAGTGCCGAGCACTCTTCCCAAGAAATTAATTCCCAAGCTGTACGTTCTGAAGACTTCAATCTATGGGGGATTTAAATAATGACTGGTAGAAGTCATAGTAGTGGTAGTTGTTATCACAACATGGTTCCTAGTTAGTGACGTAAAGGTTGACCAATAACAAAAAAAAAGGTTACGTACTATTTTGAGATCGTTTACAGGGTGCACATAGATCGCAAACACCGTAAAACTAATAAACAAACAAAGGATTTGAAACAGTCAATCCCTTTTCTGAATTTCGATAGCAACACCTGGAAGACGAAGTTTATCTGAACAATGTGATGTATTTGAGCAATACAATTCGAACAATCTGATCACACAGGACAATACTTGAATTTCCAATTTTTGTCCAACCTAATACAAGCTAGGTCTAGTAAAATGCCTATTTAATAGGATGTGTCACATCAGTACAACACATATGATGGATTAAGAAATCAAATTACTGACCCATACGCTTATGGAAAACAGACGTCCGTTTAAGCTTATAACCTCTTGAAGAGGTCAAGTAGTACCGAAGCCAACTCTGTACACGGTTCCTAAGGAAAAAGCGTTTATATAACTACCATAGAGAGGAGAGTTGAATGGCATCAATTTCAGGCATGAAATGTTAAATATTTGAGCGGATCAAAAAAAACGATTTTAAAATCGATGGAGATCGTTGGAATTAATCAAATCTTAAAGGATATACACAATTTCTAATACATTTTTTTTACCTTCGTATCGCCAGGTTGGAACATGTTCTCGTGTACGTTTTGAAACCAATCTCTCGTCACTGCTAATGTACCTTTCACCATAGGAACAGTGACAACTAGTAGGTGTAGATGCGGGTGACCTGTCGAGGGCCAACCAAATGAAATTTGACTGCGCACAATGTCTGATGCTATATTTCCCTTAAGTTAAAACCTCAACAAAGTATCTCTAGGAACCGAGAAGACTGATTTCAAATATACTTATCGCTCCCTTTTCCTCCAGAAATCGGCTCCCGAAGCTTACTACTTGTACAGCAAAATTTGACCTACACATAACCGTATTAATATACTACAACACACCATTCACAACACTCATATACAAACACAACAACAAAACGAGAACACCACTCTACACATTACAAATTAGGCCTCAACATCAACAACACATACCACACAACAATAAACACCAAACACACCTTCATATACACAACTCATCAGCAACTGAAATACACTCCAACACAAAACAAAATCTACACAACAACAAAACACTCCTCTCAAAATTACATACATCAAACACTGATGACATATGAAAAATATTTAAAACAACGGCGACAGGAGGCCGTTTGGTGAAAGCCTGCCTTCAGGAAGCCAACTGGCCGATGTGTCTTCTCTCGATGAAAGCGAAAGTAAACATGGTGACATGTAATGTCCGCACGATGTTTGAACCCAGCAAGGCAGCCCAGATTGCAAAGGAGATGAAGAGGTATCACACTGAAGTGCTTGGGATTTGTGAAAGCAGATGGAATGGGAGTGGACCATCCAAACTGTCAACTGGAGGATCAGTAATCTACTCCGATATCGTCACCCACACTACAACCACGAGCACACTGAGTTATAGAGTGACTATCATGATGTCTCCAAGAGCATCGAAGGCTCTCATGCAGTCTGAACCAATCTCATCAACGATAATGACAATGACAGCAAGGTTCAACTCAAAAGGAAGGAAGGTCACAATCATACAACGCTGCACCACGCACCTACAAATAATGCAGAGCAAGAGAAAAAGTAGGAATTCTACAGACAACTGCAATCAACACTGGACAAGACCCCAGCCCAGGTGGCGACATCAAAATTCTAATGGGTGGGGTGGCATGAATGCCAAACTGGGAGCAGACAACACAGGAAGAGATCTAACCATGGGTCGAGAAGCGCTCGGTGAGATGATGAACGAGAATGGAGAATTGTTTGCAGAATTCTGTGCATTCAACGATTTGGTGATTGGAGACAGTGTGTTCAAGCATAAGGATATCCACAAGTCAGCGACATGGATTTCACCAGATGGACACACTACACTGAAAATCAGATTGACTTTATCTCAATCTCAAGAGAATGGAGACGCAGTCTACTGAACACAAGGTGAAGAAGAGGAGCAGATGTAGGTTGAGACCACTCACTGTCTAGTGCAAGGAACCCTTCAAATCAAGTTGAAAGCCCTCAAGGAAGCTGGTGATAGAACACAGTTGAAGTTGAACACCCGGAAACTGAAGGACGAAACCACAGGAAAATCTTCACAACAGCCATTAGAAGGAAATGGGAGACATCGAGCAACATCCCTGAGGAAGCCTGTGTGGATGAGCACTGGAACTCTTTGAAAGCTATGTGGAAAAAAGCCTGCACAACCATATTAGGAAGGAAGAAGAAAGAAGATGAAGAATAGATCTCGAAGGACACATGGAAGCTGATAGAGGAGAGGAGGATGGTGAAGCAGAAGATAAAGTCGTGCAAGGGTGCAAAACGACAAGAGGAACTGAGTACAATGTATAAAACATTACACTGGACAAATAAGTGAAGAAGAGTGCACGCAGAGACAAAAGACACCTCTACGAAACACTGACAAGTGAAGCAGAACAGGCTGCTGGTAGGAGAGACCTGACAACATTGTATCAAATAACCAGGTTGCTCGCTGTCTGGGAAGAGATCGACGCTGACGGAACCAATAAAAGATGATGACGGGAATTTAAGTACGAAAGAGGAGAAACAAAGGAAACTATGGACCGACCACTTCAAAAAGCACTTGAATCGACCACCACCTACACTTCATCCGGAAATACCATCTGCAGACACAGAACTACAGGTGAACATAGGCCCTCCGACGAAATTCGAAGTCCTGAACGACATAAGGCCACTGAAATGCGGAAAAGGGGCAAGACCAGGTGGAATCCCGCCAGAAGCACTGGGAACAGACGCAGGGACAACAGCGGACATGCTCACATTACTACTGCAGAAGGTCTGGAAGGAAGGAAAGGTACCTGCCCAGTGATTGGAAGAAGGGCTACCTTATCAAACCCCCGAAGAAGGGCGACCTAAGTCTTTGCAAGAACTGGAGAGGAATCATGCTCCTATCCACCCGAAGCAAGTAAAGTATTAAGCCGCATCATCCTGGAGAGACTAAAGTATGCACTACATTCAAAACTACGAGCAGAACAGGCTAACTGAATTCAGGAAGTACAAATTATGTGCGGACCAAATTTCGACGCTCCGCACCATCATAGAACAGAGCGTAGAGTAGCAGAATGGCAACTGTCTACCTCATCTTCATGGATTTTGAAAAGGCCTTCGCTATGATCGGACGAGAAATTATTTCGCAGTTGCTTCAAAACCTAGGAATAACACAAACCTTTATCAATCTCATTCAGCAACTATGTGAGGACGATACATAACAAGTAATTCACAATGGGAAGCTTAGTGATGCCTATGAAGTGAAGACAAGGCTGTCTACTTCCTGATTGTGGTCGACTTGATGATGCGACAGACAACTGTGAGGAGAGAGAAGAGGGGGATACGCTGGACCGGGGAAAAGAGACTAAAAGATTTGGATTTCGCAGATGATTTGTGTCTCATGCCTTGTCGCACAAACTCTAAGATCTACAGACGAAAACTAACAAGTTGACAAAAGAGACAGCGAAGACGGGGCTTCAAGTGAACGTAAAGAAGACAGAAGTGATGATGATATACAACCAACGCCACCACCAACTACAAAAAGCTTCAATTACCATCAATGGGAGAAACCTAAAGGAAGTAGTCACTTTTACCTACCCAGGCAGCACTGTTTCAACTACAGGAGGCACAGCTACAGGCGAGGACGTCAAAACCAGGATCGGAAACACAGCAAGACAGGCTTTCACTAACCTGCAACCAGTGTGAAGATCTGCACTCAGCGCAAAGAAGAAGATTTTCAACATCAATCCAGACAACTCAGTGCTTTTACATGGTTCAGAGACTTCGTGCGCTCTACCAAACGCATTTCCAACAAACTACACACATTCTTCGACAACTGCCTACGCTGGCAAGTTACTGAAGATACTGAAGTTACTGAAGCAACTCTG